TCATTAGACTGCCATATGCAGAAATAAAGGACAGCAGGATTTTAGAAACTGATATTCAAACGCCTGGAATGAAACCACTAACCAGGCTATTGCATTAAAATAAGAAAGCTTTTTTCTCTCTCATTCTTTTTTTTTATTTTTTTGAGGAAGATTAGCCCTGAGCTAACATCTGCTGCCAATCCTCCTCTTTTTGCTGAGGAAGACTGGCTGTGAGCTAACATCCATGCCCATCTTCCTCTACTTTATATGTGGGACGCCTACCACAGCATGGCTTGCCAAGCGGTGCCATGTCCACACCTGGGATCCGAATCTGGGAATCCCAGGCCGCCGAAGCAGAATGTGCAAACTCAACCGGTGCGCTGCCGGCCGGCCCATCTCTCACTCTTGCTTGTCCGCAAAATCTGGAATAATAAAATCTCCTAGGTAACTTTGAAGGCCTTTCCTAAAAAGCTCTTTTACCGGAAAGACCTTTGTCAAAGCCAGCAGGAAGGAGATTCTAAGAATTTAAGAAAAGCTCAAAAATGGTTCCTAATGTAAAACTGCAAGGGATTAACAGAATATGCAACTAATTGTATACTCTAGTGGGACTTTAAATTCTAATGCTGGCTCTGCCTCTAGCTTCATCTGTGACCTTACCTTATCTTAGGCAAGCCATGCGGTCTTATCTTCTGCTGTGAGGGTCCATGCTGAAGCTGTGGGACTACACTAGCCACATTACTGCCTGGCCTCTCTTGTGTTGGAAATAGGATCATCAGTGTGGTGTGGAAGAGCCCTGGGTGAGTCAGAAGACCTAATTCTAATCCTATTTCAGCCCCTATTAGCTGGAGATCTCTGGCCTGGACCCTTAACCTCTCTGAATGCTTCCTCATCTGTAAAGAGAAGAAGGAGGAAAAAGTAATCTCACTTTTATCACTCTATATTCTTGACATCAAGGGTATTTTGGGTAAAATGTTTACAATGATCTTAGAGAAGTTATCATTTCTAGCTTCTAAGGTAAGTTTCCAGTTCTCATAAATACAACTGACTCAGTGCAATATTTTGATGTAAATGTGGATTTTCTGTATATACCATGACCTAATGTGTATTTTTTATGCATATCTGCTTTACAAAGTGAAATATTTTGAAACTTAGAGATAATTTTCTTAAAATGCTGTTTGAAGCTTGTATGTAAATATGTCATAATTATTTGAAATAAAAGGAGTCCAGATGATTAAGAAATGCATTGTACTTAAATTTAAATATTGACATAGAAAACATTTACTGTTTCTAATTTTGATGACGGACATCTTCTATTTCATTATGTACACTCTTTATAGCATACAAAAACATGCATTTTGTTCCTGATCTTTTTATACTTTGAAGTCTACTTAGCCAATTTGGCATCAACATAATAATAATAGTAATAATAGCTTTTGTTTCACATGTGCTAGAGCTCTACTATATTAATTTACTGAATGCTGGCAGCTGCCCTATGAGGTAGGTATTTTTACTGTCCCATTTTACAGATGATAAAACTAAGGCACCGAGAGGTTATGTAACTTGCCTAAGGTCACACAGCTAGGCTGGGATTTGAAAACAGTTACAGAGCCCAGGACTCTTACCCATTAGGCACTACTGCTTCTCATACGCGTTACTAATGCGTAATACAAAAGGCGCCACTTAATGAACAGAAGATAAACAGGATGAGGCCCAGCAGAAAATTAGGTTATGAGCAAAAAATAAGAATTTACAGATAGAGTCACTTCATTAGAAATGTCCTTGCCAAGTCTGGGGAGGAAGTCAGACTGTTTCGTGAACTCGGACCCTTGTTTAGGCAATTTCACAATCTGGAACCATCAGAGGTGAAACGAAGCCCAGCCACACAGCGGTCCTGCGACCTGCGCCCCGGAAGAGGGGAAATGACCCAAAGATGATGATTGGAGATCGGTGCAGGAGCTCCCTGCTCCCCACACTCCGGGGGCAACGCAGAGCCCGGGTAGGCAAGTGACTGCCCTGCTAACCAGTGGGCAAGAGGAATCGCGCCCGCATCCAACGCACCGGATGCGGTTGGGACAACCAGCGAACTCCAGCCAGATGGCCTGGGGAGAGTGGGGTGTCGACAAATCGTGATTGGCCTCCTCCGGATTCTGAGAAAGAAGCGAGGTGAGGAGAGACTTGCACTCTAGCCCTCCCCTCCTCCCGGACAGAAAATCCGCTCTCGCGCTCACTCCTCCGCCTGTCTGCCGAGGGTGCTCCCCCCGGCGCCCAGCCCGCGCCCCCTCGCCTGGCTCGAACGCTCTTCACCGCCGCGTCCCGCCTGCCGCTGGAGTCGCCTGCCTGGGTTTTCCTCGAACGCTGGCGAGTCCTGGAGGATCGCAACCCACTCCTGTCGGGACGCACCGCCTCTCCCACCGTCCTTCTCCCGCCCACAGCCCCAAAGGCAGGGTGGGCAGGTCGCAGAGCACAAAGACTCCCCAGTATCCAGCCTCTCCCGCCCACTCCGCTCAGACGCAGGAGCGCCGCGGGGCACACACAACAGCCCGAAAACGGGCCCTTCTCCGAGCGCCGCCTGTTCCAAGGCCCCGCCCACGTTCATTCACTACCGGTTGGGGGGAGGGCCGCCGCCCATACCGACCCCTAAAAGCCCACCCCGCTCCCGGCGCGCCGCCTCTCCTTAGGTCCCACGCCCGCCCACTCCCCTCTCCAGTCTCCGCAGCCTGGGCGCCCAGCCGCATTCCAACTTTCCGAGCACAGCTCCAAGAGTGCAGAAGAGTCAATCACTCGGGTTTGTTCAAGAAAAATCTCCCCGGCGCCCGCACCTTAACCTCCTTGGCGTGGGGCAAAGACTGGGCGACAGTGCCCCACCATTCGGCTTTCAAAAGCGTAAATGCCCACACCGAGTCAGCCCCTCCACGGTCCACGCGCGGGTGCCCACATCCCAGTCCCGCTCGTCGGGTGCCCCGCCTGAGTTGCGCTTCTCTTAAAGGGAGGTTTTGCGATTTAGGGAGTGTCTCCTCTTTCTTCCCACCTGCGCTCAAACTGTCTGCCTCTGGCGCCCGGCCCCTTCCTCGTCCTTCTCCCCACCCAGGGGAAACCCACCTGGAGTTTCCCAAATATACTTGGGGTGTCACCCCGTATTTTAGGGTTTAAGGGATAGGCTCCTGCGTGCCCCACCCACTCACTGACCCCAGGACACACAGGTTGAATCGTGCGCACGCCCTGGTGGACCCGGTAGAATTGATCCTGGTGGCTCGACGCCCCCTTTCCAACACGGACACACCCTAAGCCTACAGCCCTCCCCGCCCCGGCCCCCTGCCCCCGCCAAAATTCGTACTGACTCACCGACCGGGCTGGAATGGCAGAGGAGGGGACCAACCCACACCCGCTCCCGCCACCGCGGCGACGAAGAGAGCGCCAGGTCCTGCCCAGCGTGGGCACCCCGCTTGGCCCCGGCCACTTCCCAGACTGAGGCCTCGGGGCAAGTCCGAGAAAGAGAAGGGGGCGTTGAGGAAGCGGAGTACTCACGATTCCACCGTCCACGCGGTGAGCCAGAGGGGAAGCTCCGACCCGCTAGTCTCCGTCGGCCGTGCGCATGCGTCCCGCGTGAGCCTTATTTTTATTATAATCCCGAGTGCTGTCGTTACTACGCCCGCGATTGCTCTGGCTCTCGGTCTTTCCCCTGGGAAAAGGAGGCTCTTCTCCCTCCCCCTCTCTCCCTCCGCTCTGCCTCCTCCCCGCCCCCTCACTCCGCCTCCCTGGCCGGGCAATCCCAGGTCTAGCCTCCCTCTCGCGGTGGCGCGCCCCACTGCGGCGGGAGCTGACGGTGGTGGGGTGGCGGTCGTGTGAGGCTCCAAGCGGCACCCAATCCGCGCTGGGACCGTAGCCCCTCCTCCAGCCTGGGATTAGAAAGTACCGAGAGTGTGGGCGCGAAGCCAGGCGAGCGCTGAGGGCATCAGCAAAACCCCTCTGCTCTCCTTTCGCTCCAGCGCGCGGGGGCCGAGCGAGACTCCCCCGTGCGGGAATGCGTGCTCCGACCTTGTGAATGAAAGGGGGCGGAGGGAGGTGCGAGTGTGTGTGTGCGCGCAGGAGGTGCGCCGCGCGCAGGAGGGGTGCTTGGTCCGGGGAGAGTCACGCCGTGGACTGCCTCGCCTCTGGAGGGCCGCCCCTTACCTTTTCCCTTTCCCCAGGGTGCTTCTCCGAGCTCTATCCCCGCCCCACTCCGGGGCAGCCTCCGGGTCTGGTTGTCCCGCACTGGAAGGGTGCTCCTCTCCCTCGCCCGGCCAGCCGGAGCCGGAGGCTCCACCTGGCTGCGCGGAAGAGGGGGCTAACTCCCGACTCTGGATCTCATTGAGACCTTCGGCAGCCGCCCTCGGTCCCCAGGGGACTCCGGAGTCCAGAGGAGGGCAAAGACCCAGAGGGTGGCGGAGGAACCCTGCCGCGCAGCTCTGCGGGCACAGAGCACCGCGTGTCCCTGTAGCCCTCGGTGAGTCCTCAGCAGCGAGACGCAGTCGGACCGCCGGGGCTGTGCGCCCGAGCTCTGAGGGCTAAACTGAAGCTGTAAGCTGACCTGACACAAAAATAACATCACGTCATTTCCTCCCCGGCCTCCAGAGCCCGCAGAAGCCGAGAGGGCAGAAGAGTGGGAGCGCGAGGAGGGGGCAGAGGTGCGTCTAGGGGAGGCTTGTAGGAAAGAGGAGACAGACACGTTGAGAACGAGAGTTTGAGAAGCAGCCTCAAGAAGGGCTAGGGCTCTTCCCGCTTCCATTGACCATAGAAGGAAATGGCCCATGAAAAAGTAGCTTCGAGGGTCTCCTGCGGCGAGCGGGTGCCAAGCGAGCCGCAGGCGCCTTTTCTTTGAACACGTTCATCACTGTCTCGACCTTCCCACCACCCTCCCCCTTTTGCTGGCTGGTCCCTGCTAGCCCCGCGTGGAGTGGGTCAGTCGGGGTTAGGAAGGAGCAGGATATGCTGGCATCCGAGTGAGGCCGGGGGTGGGGCGTGGTGGAGACAACTGTACTCACCGGCATGGGCGAGCTCTGCCCAGCGCTGGCGTCCTCTTCCCTGGGCAGGCGTCCCCTTGGGGGTCGACCAGGCAGTGCCAGAGCTGCCCCGAGCAGGAGCGAGAGGCGGCCCGACCGCTGCTCGTGCCTCTGCGAGAGCCCAGTCACTGGCAGGGCGGGAAGCAGGAGGGAGAAGTCCGGGCGCCTCTGAGGAGCCTCACGAGGGGGTCTCCGGAGAAGGTGAGAGAAGAACTGCGCGAGGCCGGAGAGCGTGCTAGAGAGGAGGCTGAGCAGCTTCGGGGCTGCCCCGGGCGAGTCCGGGAGCTGTGCAGGGCCGGTGGCAGGAAGGGCAAGGGGCAAGGGAGGGAGAGAAACAAAACCAGCACACCATTACTGTTGGGTCCAGCTAAGAGTGACGATAACGTGCACTTAGTGCTATTTACTATGAGATTTTGAGGCTTTACTTTGGGGGTGCAAGAGAAGGTCATTGAGGACGAAAGGAAAGGCCTTTGGTTAGTTTCGCCCCCCTCCTTCTCTCCTTTCCCTCCTTTCTTCCCTCTTCCTCCCCCTCTCTTTTTCTCCCTCCCCACCCTTCTAACTCTGCTGTACTCAAAGTGTGGTCCTTGGACCAGGAGCTTCATAACAACCAGGAGCTTGTTAGAAATGCGAATCTCAGACCCTATCCTTCCTTACTGCATCAGAATCTGAATGTTAACGTTCCCAGGAGATTTCACATTAGTCGTGAGGTGCCGTGTATAAAAGCATCTGTGTCCGTACCTCTTCGTTCTTTAGAATTTGGATGAAAATCTCCTAGTTCTCTTTTGCAACTCTTGCTCTTCCTCTCCCTAGCTCAGTCTCCCTCTTTCCCTCTGTCCTTTCCCACCTTTCAAAGCGCTAGAGCTCTACCTGCCAGAGGCACAGAAGTTGGACTTGGTCACTAGGTTCTATAGGGATAGGTGTCTAGGGGAGGCTAGATAGTGGCAGAAGACTGAGGGACCCCAGACCCAACTCAGGCTGGGTAGGAAAAGCAATGGTCTGATTTGACTTTGGCTGTGCTGGGTGGGGTGGGGTGGGAGGCCAGGACTGTGTTTGGGCCCTGGGTGCACACTCTGCGGGCCCCCTTTCTGCACTCCATGTGTCCAATTTATTCTCCAGAACACAGGCCTTTCAGCCTTCCACTTGGTTGCTTAGGAGATCTAAGTGGCCAGGGTGGAGGCAAAAGTCTTATTTTTTTCTCAGAAAGTAGAGGGAAGCATTAATTTAGAAGTCAGAAGTCCAGGGTTCTAGACTTGCTAACTTGACCAACTAACCTTGGAAAGTCTCTCTATTCTTTGAGTTTGTGTGCTTCATTTTAGAATAAAGGAATTGAACTCAGTGGCTTTTTAAGGCTCTCATTTTTGAGAAGATCTCAGGGTTTCTTGGTCCCTTAACATTTGGTGAAGTTACAAACTAGAACCGAACTCAGCCAATTCAAACAGCCTCCTTAAACAAAACAAAAAGACAATCTGTTTGTGAAAAACGAGAATGGTGGTTGCCAAGAAAAATGAAGGTCGAGGCGGGAAGCAGCGAACAAAAGTGATAGGGCGGCGAGGCGCAGGAGAGGAAGAGGCGCGCGGCGCGGGGCGCGGGGCGCGGGTCCCAAGGGCGCGGCGGCCGCTCTCCAGGGTCCTGAAGGCGGGAGCGGCCGCGGGCGGCCTCTTGGGTTTGGCGCGGTTCCCCAGCTCCGCAGTCGCCAGGCCCGGCATGTTTTTTTTTCGGCGGTGGAAGTCTTGTGGGAAGCGATTGTCGGGAGGGAGGGAGGAAACCTAGCAACCCATTCTCATTCATGAGGCCCTTTCTGGGAAGCCGCTGAGCGCGTTGGCTGATTTGTCTTTCGGTCGTTTGTATGCGCCCAGAGAGAGAGAGTGGAGCTTGGTTTGCATTTCCGAGTAAGTTCACACTGTTTCGCTCCCCCTCATTACCTTTTCCTGGAGAATGGGGTCGTCCTCCTAGTATATTCATTCTCCTCGTTCAAATGCTTCTCCCCAATCCTCCAACCCCGCTGTCTGCCATGGTCCAAATATGTTAGGGGTTGGAGTTGGGAATCCAAGAGCCTTCTGGAGAAGCGCCAACAGCTCGCTCGAGGGGGGAAAGGAGCGATTTGGAAAAGGCTCAGAGAAGGCCTTGGCGCCCAGCGTTTGTCTCGCTGGGGAGGAGGGCAGGGGACGATCCTCTCGGGTAGAGGTTGGGGTGGGTCTCAGCCGGCGCCTAGTTAGCTCGGCTGACCTGGGGCAGTTGGACCAGGGCTGGTGGCGGCTAACCCCGTGCGCACCTTCGGGGGCGGCTGCCTCTGCCTTGAGAGCGCTACCGGGTGGCGCAAGAACCTCAGCAAACACAGGCCCCGGGGCTGCAAGGACCCTATGCTAAGGAAGTCAAGACAGAACCGGCTCGGTTTTGGCGACTCAGAGCTTGGCTAAGCCCACCCAGGGTCTTCCCGACCGGCCTTCATGCATGGCTTGAACAAAGTGGAAAACGCTGAGAGTGAGCGGCAAGCACACTTCTGAGACGCATGACCCTCTCTTAGGGGCCGGAAAGAAGCTTCATGGGCCTTGCGTGGGTCCCAGATTTTGCATCTCCAGCTCACGATTTCAAACGGTTTTGTGAGAATGTGTGAACCTGTAAACCGATTCTTCTCTCGCCCCAGCCCTTCTTCCCAAGTCACTTGCACGCCTCTTCCCCGAGTATGCTTCATTAGGCATTTTGTTTCGGTCCTGTGCTTCAGGACAGATGCTTGTGAGGGAAATAGTGGAAACGTTCGGGAGAATGTAAGTCCCAAACTCAGTCCCAGAAACACAGTGCTGGGGCTCCGTTGCTCCTCTGGAGACATTCACCTTTTACCCTTTCCTAGACTGCTCTTTTCCCTCCAGACCAGCAGCCTGCTCCCCGATTCTGGCTCATGTCTGGCCACTTTGCAGTCACAGCGAGGCTGTAGAGTCTGGTGAGGGACCCAAGGCTTCTTTAGCTGGGGTGTGAAGCATGATGGTATAGGGTGCTGAAATCCATCAACTTCCATTGGCCCTTCTGCAAGGATAGAGCTAGGGAGTATCAATGCAGCTACAAAATTCGATCTGATAAAAGTTATCTGAAGAAAGATCTTCAGCTGCCCTCAGTGCTGATCACTACAGAGAGCCCCCACTTCCGTTTAGGCCAGATTCTAGGTAACAGTCTGAGGGCTTCAATAACATCAGCAGCAAAATGGAATCATCTTGGAGTCGTATTCCTGAAAGCACTGCTCCTTAGGGATCCAGAAGACTGAGGGAATGCTTTGTTCTGACTGAATATCCACTTCCCGAATTAATCGTGTTGGCTATTGAACCATGCAGAGGAGAAAATCACCACACCCCAAATCAATGTAAACAAAATCTCACCCCTGTAAAAAGCAAATTGAAAATTTTCATTCATGCCTAAATAGTACCGTTCCATAAAGGAAATATCCATGGCAGAACTAAACTACTTTTTTACCAAAAATTTCTGAGAGCCTTTGGAATTAAAACCACAGTTGCAATGAAATTTGAAATTAGATTTAGTTTTATGAAATGACCTATTTTCCCCTGAACTTTATTTTAAAAATTCTATTTTGCTGTGGTTTAGCTGTTTCATACATTTTTATTTTCTGTTATTTGGAGAAGTAGTTTTTCTACTTGGATCTAAGAATTTGACAGTGATTGAAAACTATAAAGGCAAATCTTTGCTTGTGCTGACTATAAATCATGCAGACTGCAATGACAATAAATAAGATAAACAGACCATGGATATTAGAGTTCCAGGTTAACATTAATTGGAGGCCAGCCAAGCTATTAAGGACATGTTTCTATTAAGGTTCACTTAGAATCTCAAATGTTCCTAGTGAAAGTACAACTGTTAAAAAGAATGTCTCTGCAGCTTATAATTAGTTTTCAATTCATTCACTCTTTTTTAAAACTTTATCTTATTGAAGTCACGTTGGTTTATAATATTGTATAAATTTCAAGTGCACGTCATTATATTTCAACTTCTGTAGAGACTACATCATGTTCACCACCAAAAGTCTAGTTTCCGTCTGTCACCATATACTCGTGCCCCTTTACCCCGTTTACCCTCCCCCTACCTCCTTGCCCTCTAGTAACCACCAATCTGTTCTCCATATCTACGTATTTGTTTATCTTCCATATATGAGTGAAATCATACAGTATTTGTCTTACTCTATCTGGCTTATTTTGCTTAGCATAATAACATCAAGATGCATCCATGTTGTCCCAAATGGCATAATTTTGTCTTTTTTGTGGCTGAGTAGTATTTCAGTGTGTGTGTGTGTATGTATAAATATATATATGTGTGTGTGTGTGTAACATCTTCTTTATCCATTTATCTGTTGATGGGTACTTAGGTTGCTTCCAAGTTTTGGCTATTGTGAATAATCCTGCAGTGAACATAGGGGCACATGTATCTTTTTGAATTAGTGTTTTCATGTTTTTTTGGATAAATACTCAGAAGTGGAATAGCTCGATCATATAGTATTTCTATTTTTAATTTTTTGAGAAATCTCCATACTGCTTTCCATAGTGGCTGCACCAATTTGCATTCCCACCAGCAATGTATAGGGGTTCCCTTTTCTCCACATCCTCTCCAACACTTGTTATTTCTTGTCTTTTTAATCATAACTATTCTGGTGGGTGTGAAGTGATCTCTCATTATAGTTTTGGTTTGAATTTCTCTAATAATTTGTGATGATAAGCATCTTTGCATGTTCCTGTTGTCATCTGTAAATCTTCTCTGGAAAAATGTCTGTTGATATCCTCTACCCATTTTTTGATCTGGTTGTTCATTTTTGTTGTTGCTGTTGCATTGTATGAATTCTTTATATATTTTGGAAATTAACCCCTTATTGGATATCTGACTTGCAAATATTTCCTCCCAGTTGATGTCTTGTCTTTTAGTTTTGTTGATGGGTTCCTTCATTGTGCAGAAGCTTTTTAGTCTGATGTAGTCCCATTTGTTTATTTTTTCTTTTGTTTACCTCGCTTGAGAAGACATGTATTTAAAAAGATACTACTCCGTCTGATGTCAAAGTGCGTATTACCTAAGCTTTCTTCTAGGAGTTTTATGGTTTCAAGTCTTACATTCAAGTCTTTAATCCATTTTGAATTAATTTTTGTGTATGGTATAAGAGAATAGTCTACTTTCATTCTTTTGCATGTGACTGTGTAGTTTTCTCAGCATTGTTTATTGAAGAGATTTTCCTTTCTCCATTGTATGTTCTTGGCTCCTTTGTCAAAAATTAGCTGTCCATAGATGTGTGGTTTTATTTTTGGACTCTCA